TTTTATAGGAAGAAAATTGTGATTTCAGAAAAGGATGCTTATTTATAGTTTTATTGTGATGTCTAATAATCTTCCACATAACATGAAATTTTTAAACGAAGCTAACATTATTTATTGAAATGAATGATGTAATACTTAGTGAATGAAATTTGTGAAAGAGAACATGGCAGAGATCGCCAAATAACTTTGGATAACTTGATAATGAGATTGATAACCGCAATAACTTTTATTAAGAACTGACGAAGGATCGTCCGTCACCTATAAATGTTTTTACAAATAGGCGTGATAAACTACATATGTTAACAATCTATGTGTAACAAAAGAAATGATAAAAATTGATGTTTAATCTTTTATACTGAATAATTTCACTTTAATAAAATTTATTTCATTATGAAAAATAATTTATGCGAAAATTATTTATCTTTCACATAACGTAAAATTTTGCGAACAGACTGATAATCTTTGTTGAAATAAATGAAATAGTTTTTATTGAATGAAATTTATGAAAGGACAAAAGTCACCAAATAGCTTTTATTATCATTTCCGATACATCCATATGCAAAATATACGTTATTATAATCATTAATAAAATTTATTGATCAAACTTATTTTGCGAATTCACAAAAATACACAGATCGGATCCTCTGTTTGCCATTTTTACTCTTTGCTTCCTTAAATACTATAGCTGTGGAATTTTCTTCTTTTATGTTGAGATTTGTTATGTTGTGATTTATTATGAATAAACGTAATAATAATAAATTATACAATAATTCAACATACATTATATTTCTTTCTCTAATTGATAAATTATAGTTTAGCTAAGAGATTAGCATAAATGGCTGTCATTAAGGATTATTTAGGCTAAGTAGAATTTTCCACTGAACTCATTGCAATTTGAACTTAGCGTAATTTTAAATAAATTGTTATTTTGAATTATTACAAATAAATGCAAATATTTGTTGAATGAGCAAAAGAAAGAAAAGAAAGTAAAATTAGCGATCATACAAATATAAATGTTTATTTCTTTACTAAAAGATCGAATACATTTTTGGATCTTTGATGAAATTCCTGCAATTATAGTAAGTTTTATTAATGGCTATAATAAGCGTATATTTGCATATGGACGTGCCGGAAATGGTAAAATATTTATTCCGGTAGTTGTTTGATGATAGAAATTTTATGAATTAAACCGGAAAAAAAAGAGAGCCTGACTTTAAAATTATCATATGTGCTGCTTTTGTTTCATGAAATTATCAACTGATTGATGTAATGATATTTATTGATTACTTTTAAATTAAGCAAACTAGAAGATTGAAATTAGCAATCATTGGAATTTAATATATTTAAAAAAATAATTGAATCTAAAAAATTATTAGTAATTTTAGGAATAATCAAATGATCCAGGTGTATATCAGTGATCTTTAACATATTTATTTCCAGTAGCAAAAGAATACTCAAAACGATATTAATTATACTTTATCATACAGAGCAACACGGCGGCAATCACGTAAAATACGTTTATAGGGAAGTGTGGAGACGTGCGATCGTCAATATATCTAATCACTTTACTTTATCATATCAGTCAATTTTGCAATATAGGGCCAATTCAGACTATGAAATAATGATTTTTCTGCATGCTTGATATTTTCAGTATTGATATTATATTTAATATTCATATTTGGTACTGATATCACCGTACTGATATCTGAACTTCATTCTGGGAAATGCAGTTTTTTTTTCATAACTTTATATTGTTCTGAAATTAATTGTTTCCTAATCCATGCAAATTTTTGAATGATAAGTAATAGGAGAGATATGATAAGTGAACTAAAATAAGAATGATAAATAATAAGAGATATATGATAAGTGAACTAAAATAAGGATGATAAATAATAAGAGATATATGATAAGTGAACTAAAATAAGAATGATAAATAATAACAGAGATATGATAAGTGAATTAAAATATGATAAATAATAACAGAGATATGATAAGTGAACTAAAATAAGAATGATAAGTAATAGAAGAGATATGATAAGTGAACTAAAATAGAATGATAAGTAATAGAAGAGATATGATAAGTGAACTATAATTGGCGCTATAACAAAGATAGAAACAAATTTTTAAATTAAATACTCAGAAAATGAAATTGCATGAAATGTAAAGCATTAGGAAGAATTTGTCAAAATGTGTTCAAAGAATAGCGAAAGTAACGAAATATTTAATATTTTGTTTTAAACTGTTAATTAGAATTAATTGAAAAAGATTTATTTAAATTTTAGCAAAAATCAAATTTCACACAAATAATAATAAATTGGAAATTGTTTTAAAAAAAAAGCTCGTTTGTCCATATTCTTTGCTTTTTTTATAATTAAGTCCAGTAATTAATTAATTAAGCATTAAATAAAAAAGGTTAAATAAATTGAAAGTATTTTACGTTAGCGAAAAAAGTAGTAATAGTAATATCAAGGCAAATTTCATCAAAATGAACCCGCTCCTCCAATGAAACAAATATCAACCAATGACCATTACTTATTTTGATCACTAATTTCCCCAGATAGTCGTAAATGCAGGATAGGTTTCGTGAATTCATGATTGTAAGGTAGTAGACAAATGTGGTCATCATTCTAGTGAAGGGATCAAAAACATTATTTGATATCCCGAGATGTTCGTAAAAGTTTTGTCAACTCATAACTGTAAGATAGTGGACAAATGTGATCATCATTTTAAAACAAGGACCAAATTGCAGAGATGCACAACATTTATACATTAATTAATTGTATTGTTTTGGAAGCAATAATTATAGCTTCATTGAAGATCAAAGAAGTGTTGTATTATGCAAATTAAAAAAAAAATAATAGAATGATATATCACAAATCATTAAATTTATCAAGACGGCAGCGGTTCATAATCCTTTAACGGATATCGGTACCTTAGCGGTATTCGTTCACATGGATCTAACATTGATATCAATTGTGGTAACCATAAAAGAGCATGAGTTAATCCGATCACATTAACAAGTTGTACCGTTTGAAAGAAGACACGTACCAGATAGGCTGGTATCAATGGTAATGTTATCATTGAGAATATTGTGGAAAAACCAGCTTGTAATACTGGCCAACCAACTATCATTAATGATTCTCGTACCTGAAAATGTTAAAATTTAACACCTGAAAATGTTAAAATTTAATTCGTCAAAATATTTTTCAAATATAACAAAACTGAATTATTTAAATATATTTCTTCCAAAGGAAAAAAAGATAAAATTTATTTGAAAAAAAGAAGAGCCAAATTTTTAGGTAATTTATATTATCCAAATTATGATTGATTTTAATTTTTTGAATCAATTAAATTTGAAATAGATAAATGATACCTTTTGATGTGCAGTTTGTTGTGATGATCGATGATACCTATAGCAAATATGTATGGAAAAATCAACCGCTAATCCGATAGCCATAACAACACATCCCATCGAAACAGAATCTAAATCACTACCCAAAAGTGATAAACCACCACAAACGCCCATTGAAATTGATAGCAAACTCCAAGTCATAAAAAATACCGATTGCTTAAAAGAATTTTGTTAAATTTGGAAAATCAAATAATTCAATTAGAAATATTCGAAAAGTTCAAAGTTCAAAAAATTGAAGAAAATATTAAATATTATTAGTTTGTGAAATTTGAAACAATGTTTATTGCAATATACCTAACCTTATCAGGAAGGAAGAAAACAGATAAAATTGCCATAACAGAAATTGCTGATCCAATTGATTGCATAGAAGATGGTGCTATACTTCGTCGTTGATCAATTAGAAATGGTGAAAAAATTCCAGACAAAAAAACATCAAAATCAGGATATTCGGCGATCATTGCACGCCATCGATGTAATTCATTCTTAATACATAATACAAATATTGATATATAAACTTCATTTTGATTTTTCCTTCAATAGTTGATGATATTATAATCATTAGGAAGGAAGTAGAAATTCATTCATATCATATTTTCGACAGTATGATAATTAAAAAAACAGTAATTTTGTTTATCACAAAAACATTAGAAATTGTCATTCTCGTCATACACTAAATAATTTAACAAAATTTTAAGAGCAGTTAATCAATTAGATAATTTAAAAGCAGTCAATAAACTTTAAAAATTTCCATGTTCGGATACTCTCAGGGAAATTTAACCATTCTAATTGATTATCATAAATATAATCTAATAAGATAATTCTAATTAAACAATTATTTTACTTAATTTTATCAAAATTATCATATCACTTACATGTCGCTTATCCCATGAATCAAGTCCATAAAAACTAGTTTGAAAAGCAAAAGCTGCAATACATGGCTCTCCATCTGTTACATTGCTTTTCATTCTTATAAAAGCTTAAAATTGATGAAATTTTTCCTGTTAGTTCAAATTTTAGTTAAATTATTATCTTCGAAATTAGAATATCAGTTGTTATTATAAAACAAATAAATTAATTAATTAATCCAAGTATTATCGTGTATAACTTATTTGGATCTGTTGAAAATCATCACTCAATAATTCCTTCCTATCACATTATCTATATAATGTGATTTTTTGATAAGTTAAGAAATTTTATGAAGCGAATAAAGCTTATAATACGGTAATATAATAAATACGATACTCATGCAATGGTGTAAATACGACATTTTCAACATTGATAAGTTAAGAAATTTGATGAAGTGAATAAAGCTTATAAAACGGCAATATAAATACGATAGCTTATAATACGATAATATAAATACGATATTTTCAACATAGTGGAAAAAAAAGAAGAAAGAAAGAACCTTTATATTGTTGATTATCAGTTTGATCAAAAAAATCAATCAAATATTTCCTTTCATAGAAATTTTTATCATAATTAATATCTGGAAAGTCATTTAAAAATCGTTGATATTCCCAAAGCCAAAAATTAGTGGATACTCTTCCAATACTATAAGCTGTATGTTCAAGACGATAAATCAGTTCGTTTATTCGAGTTCGTGCTTCTACCGTACGAAAATCCGGTGGATTCATTACGTAAAATATCGGCATTACATTATCCGCCCAAATATATTTATCTAAATAAAAATTATGTGTAACAATTTTTCATTTGTTTTTATAAATTTTTTAATTTTACATTAATAATTAATTTCATAATAAAATATTGATGATATTAAAATGTTTTATATATAGTTGACAGATAAAATAATTTCATAACTGTTGTAATTTTTTGCTAAAATTTTCAAATAAAATTTCATCGGAATTATTTTCCATTCAATATATAAGCATATCTTTTGTAGATATATATCTTATTATATATATAATAAGATATAATAGCTTATTATATATACATATTGGAAATGGTATCTATTTAGTTAAATCTTTTCTTTTTTACTCGAACTATTTTTCTCAATCATTCAAAAATCTGTCAACAATATTCGTAAAATCATAACATCCAAAGATAACTCAGGTTGACCTTCGACACTAAGAGGTGGATAAAAAGTTCAACTACTTGTTGCCCCACCTGTACTATCATTTTAGCATAACCTAAATTCTCAAAAGATAAAAACGCAAAAATTAAATTTTAACTTACCGGCAAGATTAATAAATGGTTGAATTGGTGAATCATCACGAATATATTTTCTAGGACTTATATCAACCGCAATTGATATACAACCATAAAAGGTCAATGATGCATAAAGAAGGAAAACAATTAAAGAGATAATTCGAACTTCTTTACGCAATATAAATGGCGCATAAATATCACCAAACCATTGATGAATAAGTGGTTCTAAAGAAAAATAAACTTATCATATATTATCAATTTTACTCTTATCAAATAATTTGTGATAAGAAAAATTTCACATAATATTTTTTGTTGTAATAAAATTAGCAATTTTTTTTTTCCGTTATTTTATTTTTGTTTAATTTACAATTATAATTTCCTACAATGCAGTATTGTTTTCTTTGTCGTAAATCGCTACAACATTTTACTTATCAAAAATTGTTGAAGCGAACCGTTTGCTTATATTTTGATGTAGACAAGAACCCACGTTGAATGTTGTGATTATTTGTTGCATTTTCTATTGATTTAAATTTATAGCAACATGATATTAGTCCACCATGTGATTCTTTTCGACCACCGTAAACCATAATTGATGCATAGAATGTAATTTGAAAGAAATAATCCATCATAATACCGATAGCCATTAATAAACAAAAATTCGAAACAGCCGGTATTGGACAGAAGAAATAACCAAGAGCTGAAATAACTAACTTTCCCGGAAACTAATAAACTTCTTTTAATCCTAAGTTTATTTAATGTTTTGAAATTTAAATTATATATGCTTTATATAGGTATAAATTAATAAGTTACAGTTAAACTACAAATTTAACTATAACTTATTTATTGCATTATTTAAATTATGGTAATGAAATTATTTTATAATTAATTGATCCAAATAAAAGGAAGTATTTTACAGATAAATAATAATAGTTACCATTGTGAAAAAACTAATTCGAACTTTAAACTCTAATAGATCAAACTCGAAGAAATTTAATTATCAAAAAATGTTGGTTTATTTTCGAAATCTTTTGCAGGAAGGTTTACTTACATCTAATCTTATCACTATTTAAGTATTAATTAAAAAAGTTTTGATAAGAGATTTTAATTTTAAGTCTATACTCAATTATACAATATGCAAAAGATACAGGTCAAAAGTTTCTTTTGGAAGAAAAATAATTCTTTCAGAAGACGAAAAAAATGACAAGAAATTATATTTCTTTGTTTTAAAATTAATTTTTAACTATCAACTTAAATCTGTTAATTAACCTGTTACCCCACTGTTACTCCCTTACCTGTTAACCTAACTTAAAAGTAATCACAAATAATATTTACTTTTTGCTGAAATCAAAAAATTTACCAAAACAACCGAAATCAGTAACCGATGTTACAGTAATTGATAATCCGGCATCACTCATTGTCATTGCCATACGTTTTTCGATCGGTAAATGTCGATCTGTTGTACGCCAAGCGCCTAACATCAGGAATGCATCATCAACACCTTGAAATAAATTTGAAAGAATAGTTTATTTGTAGTTAAGTGAAAATAATAATATATTTTTAAAGTATTACCAACAGCAAGGACCAAAAATGGCATTGTACAGGAAACCGGATTGAAAGACATTCCAAGATGAAAGAGTAATCCAAAGGTGCAAATTAATGATAGAATAACTGATATTACTGCCAAATAACCTTCCAACGGTTTTGATCTATAATAAAATTAGACATACATATGTAGTATGATAAATTTATAGGCTTACTTGTAGGGTTATATTTATAGGCTTAAATTTATAGGCTTACTTAATTTGAATATTTATTTAATCCTAAAATAGAAATGCAAAAAATACTTCTCTTCTTGAATTGACCCTTTCATACATCACTTACTTCTCGCAATATAAAACTAATTGATAATTACGAATGTTGATATCAATGATAATATGTTCATTCTATCTTATCTGTATAACTTATCACGTATATTAAGTATTCTTAAAATATTATCAGTGAGGATTGATAAGTGAAAATTTTAATAATAGAATGATGGTATCAGAGATAATCTCTGATGATTATTTAAAAATGAAATCTACTAATATATAATTATGATCATATCAAGTAGGAAAAAAAATCTGTTCCGTTATAAACTTAATAATTTTTAAATCAAAAAAATATTTCTTAGCTATATAGAATAGTAAAGAATAATTAAAATTTATTTTACTCATTACAATTATACTGTAATCATTTACTAAATTATAGTTAAGGAATTTTTAAAATAAAAATAAAATTTAATTACTTGGTAATATCTTTGGAATAATTTGAAAGTATAACGAAAAGCATTAATTGCAACGAAACAATTACTGCAAATGGTAACGCTGCTTCGATAATTAAAAGCATTTCATCATTCATTGCTTTATCGCTGGAAATTTTGAATAATTTTTAAATGCTATCATTGTTAGCATAAAATGATATAAAATATATAATAAAAGTAATTTCATTCATTTAATTACCTGGTTGAAAAAATATAAAAGTAATTTCAATTAATTACCTGGTAGAAAAAAAAAGTAATTTCAATTAATTAAGGCAAAAATAATTTCATTTAATTACCTAGTTGAAAAAAATATAAAAGTAATTTCAGTTAATTATAATACAAGTAATTTTATTTAATTACCTGGTAGAAAAAAAAAACGAAAAAACAAGAAATTGAAATATGCTATTAAATAATAAGGTATAATAGAAATTATAATGATAATTAATAAAAACAAATAAGAAGATGAATTCTTCTATTAATATGAATTTCATTTGTTTAATTACCTGGTAGGGAAAAAAAGTAAAAAAACAAGAAATTGAAATTTGCTATTTAATAATAATACAGGTATAATAGAAATTATAATGATAATAAAAACAATTAAGAAGGTGAATTGTTCTATTAATATGAAGTAGTACAGTATGAAAATTATTAATTATATATAATCAAGGTAAAATAATGATCAGGTACAATAGAAATTACAATGATAATAAAAACAATTAAGCAGATGAACTGTTCTAATAATATGAAGCAGTCAAATATAAAAGTTATTAATTGTTATTAATTAAGATAGATCACAAATAAAAGAATAAAGCAACAGATACGGTAAAATTTACTGTAACGAAGAGTAAAATCAATTTATTGAGTTAAATAAAAGGTATTTTAATAAAATGATAAAAATAATTAAATAAGAAATGAAAAATTATCATTTAAACAAAAAAATAATAGATGAAAGGAAAAGCTTACTTGTGTGGAATAAATTTAAGCTTTGATTCATTCTTTTTTGACAGCCAAAAATTATCTAACTCTTTACGAAAAACTGTGAATGCTTTCTCTTTTTCAGATGTACTCTGAAAATTGATTAACCAATGGACAGTGACCACTTTAGCACTACTTATTTCATGCTTTCGACCAGTTACATTTACTCCATAAATTACCTAAAATGAAATTATTATAAAATTTAAAATAAATTATTTACAATGAAATAATTACTGTAATAATTCATGGAATAAATTAAAATGAAATCAATTAATGAAATACATAAATAAAAATTAATGGTTTCATAAATCATTTATTTACCTGTCCAATATCTTTCGGTCGACTAAATAAATACATAACTGGATATGAAAGTTGCAAATTTGGATTAGAATTCATTTTACCATCTTGAAAAAGTATTTCAGCATGCTTTAACCAAACATTTAACTCATTTGCACATTTCTGAAATTGATTAAAAGTAAATGATAATATATTTTCATTCTTCTCTGATATATATATAATAAATATAATATATTAAATATAATATAAGATAATATATTTTCATTCTTCTCTGATATATATATAATAATTATTTGAAGTTTACTATTAGTGATAATAGTAATTAAATAACAGTAATAATTATCAGAAATTTTAGTGTGTCCGAATAAATTTAAATTTGCATGATTTTAACAGCAATGATAATAATGTTTATATATATATTTCGAGGAAGCTAAAAATATTTGCATATTTGAAGTTTACTATCAATGATATTAGTAATTAAATAGCAGTAATTAATATCAGAAGTTTTAATATATCCGAATAAACTTAAATTTGCATAATTTTATTAATTATTAGCATTTTAAACTTACATTTGCTTCACGATCTTTTTGACAAAAATCCTCAAATCGATAGATTTTACCGTTGTATTCTATAGTAACATTCATAATTTCATTGGTATAACGATAAATTCTACGTAACGTACGTGATTCTAATAAATTTGAATTTTCTTCATGAATTACATAAAATCGAATAACATCAATATGAATAGAATCTGAAAATTCAATAATTGGAATTAATTGTTCAAATTCAAATTAAATTTAAGAAAGACAAAAAGAATGAAAGAATAGATTTTGGTATATAAATGTATGTGTATGTGTATGTGTATGTGTATGTGTATGTGTATGTGTGTGTGTGTGTGTGTGTGTGCGATGTATTGAAAATAAATTGTTAAAAAATCAATTTATTATAATTATAATAATTAATAATAATTTATTCAAAAATTAGAATTGTTAAATTCAATACGAATAAGATGTGATAATTAAAAGATTGTTAAATTCAAATTAAATTTAAGAAAGACAATAATAATCAAAGGATAGATTCTGGTATATGTATCTCTGTGTTTATATATATATATATATATGTATCTGCGATATACTGAAAGGGAATTGTTAAAAAAACAAATTTTTATATTTTATAATAATTAATGATACTATAAAACAAAATTTAGGAAACGTTTTTTTTTAACGTTAAATTTGCATCGTTCTTACAACAATTAAGCAAAAGAATAAATAATTTGTAAAATATAAATTGAAATCTAAATTAATAATTATAATTATAAATAATCAATTATAATTATAAATAAATAATTATAAATTGGAATGAATTATGAGATGTGAAATATAAATATAAATTGTAATTATCAATTAATTAAATTAATTTCGAAATTTATATAATTCTTTGTTTGCCAAAATAATTTTTCACAAAATCAAATTAATAGAAGAATTTAAAAATATAAACAAATCATTGGAATAAAAATTAAAATAGAAAAGAAGAGCAAACCACTGATAATGTTTGTTTGTTGTTTAATCCCATTTGTATGCATATAATCTAAAATGCCTAGCGGCATTTTAGCAAAAATTGCTGATCTAAACAATTTTTCGGAAATTTTTATGATTATTGTTAAATTTTCAAAAATACAAATAAACAAACAAACAAATAAACAAATAAACAAACAAAACAAACAAACAAATAAAAAGACAAAAAAAAACTTTTTAAATTCTAAAATTTTTTTTCAACAAAAATTTTAATTATTTTTAAAATTTTAAATTTCTAATAATTTTTAGAATTTTTGATTTCGTTTTTTTTTTTTGTTTTATAATTATTCAATTAATTTTAACATTTTGTTTTTTAAGAAAGAAAACACAGAAAGGTACCGTATCCTCTAAAAGTTAAATATTTGTTTAAAAAAAAAACCTTTCAAATTCTTGTCGTACCGGTGCATCTACCGGAACAAATAATTTATAAAGATCTAAATTAATTCGTAGCATTGGTAATCCTGTCATACCAATTATTGTTAATAGTAATGAACCGATAAGAAATCGTTCCGGATAACGGCCTACCAATAAGCCATGATAATAAAAACATTTGATGAATAGATCTTCAAATTTTTTACCACAATCTTCGAATTGTTTCATATCCCACTAAAAATTTTGTAATAAAATCATACAACGAAAATTTATAGCAAAAAAGAAGTGCTCTTCTAATTTAACTAATTATACTTTATAATTAGAAGAAATTTTTAATCAAATTAATAGCATTCTATTTTTTTGCTAATTTAAAATTTGATTAATTAAATTATAAATTATCACTTCTATTATTTATAGATAAATAATAATCTCGAAACAAATACAAGCAAATAATTAAGGGTTTTAAATTTTGAAAAGAAAGAAGAAATTGTATTATTTTGGGGGAGAAGAGGGGAGAGAAGTGAAATGATCAGTTTTTTGTATCATCAAAAATGTTAATAAATGACGATGCCAAAGGAAGTAATTAGTTGGTTGTTAATTGTAGTGGTCAAAGATGTTGATAAAAATGTTGGTTGGTTGTCCGGTTGATCGGGTGTAAATTGTAAAGAGTTGAAAGAGAGAATTATAATAGATAAAGATGTGTATTGATGACTTTCTTAGGTTGATTTCATAAAATTTCATCCTTTCCTTTACGGATTGCCACACCCTTTTCCTATTTGTTTAACAATATTGGATGGTAAAAATTGTTGTCCCTTTAAAATTTGTCATCTTTCGTTCAACTCTTCTTCTTCGATCGATCTATCCTATACCAACTTTTAATTATTTGATCGCAGTAATATATTTCCCAAATGAAATATCCTACAATTCTTTTCATTGATCATTTTATCCTTCTATTTTAATTTACAACATTTTCATTAGGATACCATGCAACGTATTATTAATTGATATCAACGTGATACAATCTAATTGTTGAGAAAGATCTTTTTTTTTTTTTGATAAAAATTCAAAAATATTTTTACATTTTAGATTTTATTAGAAATCGCTGTTTATTAATTTCGTCCATTATTAATTTGTACTTTTTAATTTGATCATTATTAATGAGTGATAATTAATTGTAACTTTTAGTAATAAGAAAATACCTCAATAAGGTAAACCACAAAGTATGATTATTCAATAAAATGTAATTGAGATAATTACTGAAATAAATATAACTACGAATAATCGGGCATTTTTATCTCTATTATGAGTGAAAAAAATCGCGATCATTAAGATAATAATCATAAAAATAATTGTATATTATTTAATATAGCTGTTTGATTAGTTAAAAAGATGAGAGTTACAATTTAATGCCATAATTAGTAAAATTTACAATTAATAAAGATATTTGATATTTGATTGATATTTACATATTACATATTTGACTGATAAACAAACAATAATTAATTTGTCTAAGAAAAAGAAAACTTTCGGAAATGCACATTTCATTGATAAACAAACGATATTGATAATAATTAATCCTGTTTGAGAAAAAAACAAAACTTTCATTTTATCATTCATTATCTCTTTCTTTCATAAATTGCCGCTTTCTAACAAACAATCTGGTTATTCTTGCTTTTCATTGTGATGCTGTAAATTTCGTTTGAAAATTTTCAAAACCAACAAATAATAAATCTTTCTCAGTTAAACAATTCATTCCAATAATTCACACTTTTTTGTTTTATGGTTGAATAATTTAAGATGAAATTAAAAAAAATTCGCTAATTTATTTATTTACTTTAATTAATTTCATTAGTTTAAAATTATGTGAAATAAAAGAAAATTAGGCGGAAAATGTTTTGTTCATTTCTGTTTTTGCATGTTTACTTTAATCATATCAGTTGATCTTATCAGCCAAAATTTATCCAATGATAGGAATGATAAGAAAATTTTTAAAATTGTTAACTTTATCATTATTTCATTTTAAAATAAATGGTTTTATTGTATGACAATGAATTGTATTTTGTAATATAATAATATTAATTATAATTTATTAATTTATATTAAAGATTATCATTTAAGTTTGAAATTGAAAGAAAAAGTACAAAAAGTCCCTATAATATATTAATTAAAATTAAAGATTATCATTTAGGTTTGAAATTGAAAGAGAAGGTATGAAAAATCCTTATAATATATTAACTATAATATATTAAATTTATATTAAAGATTATCATTTAAGTTTGAAATTGAAAGAAAAATCCTAAGAATACCTTTTCAAGGTTACTTTCAAGAATTATCCGAAAGAAATGGTAGTTTGGTAATTTTCTTTTGTCGTTCAGTTAAAATCACAATTCTTAATTTATAGAGATGTATAATAAGTTGTATAGTTAATGCAATTGCTACAATTATCATAGCACATACCAATAACTGTAAACAAATTTTGGATTTTGAATAAATTACTTTCATATTATAACCGGATGATTGCTTTCATATTGTAACCGAATTATTATTATTATATATAACCGGATGAAGTGAAATATTAAATTGTTTGTTATCATTTATCTTTTTTCCAATCAGAAATTTCATTAATTTTTTTCTTTGTTAAGCAATAAAAATATGAAATTAAAAAATGCAATATTTTCATCAATTTTTTTTGCTTTATTTTCAAAAGACTAACGGTTGGATCGATCGGAATAATTGCGACATAAATATCTTCCCGCATCTTTAATATTAGTAAACCTCTTTTTAAAATACAATTCGTTTTAGACGACTGTTTTAAGTTTTTGACTGATCGCAACAATAATCAGTATTTTATAGATTTTCATTTTTTATACAAGACAATTGAAAAAAAGAAAAACATAAACAAAGTGATAAACAACAACCGCTATTTGTCAATAGCATTCAGGGAAAAGCAATTTGTCAACCCATTTGTCAACATACAGGAAAAAGCAACAACGCCACTTGTCATCATAGGAAGAAGCAACAACCGCCAACATTCACTGTCAAAATTAAGGAAAAAGCAACAACCTGCCAACATTCAGGAAAAAGTAACAATCGCCATTTGTCAACATTCAAGAAATCAGAAGAAATTATTATTTCGGAAGGCAAAAAAGAAGCGCATTTCGATTCTGAGAAATGATTTTTGAGAAGGAAGCAATTAATCAAATTGATTTCTAAATTTCATATTTCTTGTATTAATTGAAATATGTGAAAAATGTGTTGGTTAATAAAATTTTAACTGATATAGTAGAAGTAAAAATATGAATCATCGAATTATAACTGTGGAATATGAAATACATCTGACACGTATATCATTACACACGTGAATCGTTGAATCCAAATAATGCTATGTTTTGTTTTAAACGAAACTTCACAGTTAAACTTCACTGTCGACAATTTACAAATACACATAAAATGGTTTCCCATACTTTAAATCTTTTTCTGAATTAGCGATTTAATTTCTAGGTGAGAATTTTTGAAATGTTAAATAAACAGTGATAAGTAAATTTCTACCTTCAACTGCACAATTTCCATATTCTAAGCGTTTTTAGCATTAGTAATTAGCGATTAAACTTTCCGCTAAATAATTTAGTCAAAATTTAACATACTAATATTGCTTTCATTTATAACTCTTAACTCTTTATAATTTAATAATTAATTTTAATGAAACGAATTTATTGAACTGATCTGCCATTCCGTAATGTTATGAAGAAGTTTAAAAATAATTGAAATTGATATATCAATTAGAAGCTTTGTGCTGATTCGATTGAATTCAATAATTAATTTAATTTAAAAATAATTGAAATTGATGTATCAGTTAGAAACTTTTTGCTGATCTGATTAAATTCATTAATTCCAAATGATTAAAATAATGATTTCAATTTAGTAAAATTAAAATTTTTATTTAATAATTTATCACTGAATTAAACATTTACATAGCATTATCAAACCATTATCACTTTCCATTATTTGTTGAAAATCATTAATAGAAACAATGAAAATCCTGTTCATTAAAGGTAGTAATTAAAATTGAAATGAGAAAGATTTCATATTCAAATTTAGAAAATAAAAATTAAAATACTCCAAGAATGAAACAAATTATCTCTTAATGATCGATAAATAGAAATACTTTTCAGTAATTAAATATGAAAAATTGATCACAAATTTAATTTCAGTATAATCATAAAAATTTTAATAAATTTCAACAATATCATTTCTTTCAAAAATTTTGAAATTAATAAATTATTTACCACAATAAATGATAATAATTAACATTAATTAATAATATTTACCCATTGTTTTCCATTCCTTTTCTTTTAAATGAAATAATTAAAAACAAAAATTATGTCTCATTTAATTTTTGACAAAACCAATGTCGTGGTATGAAAAAATCAAGCATAGAATTGTGAAAATATGGATGACATCGTTGTCTTGCATACCATTCATGACTATATAATGATACAAACATTCCGGTACCAATTAATAAATTCAAATACATTGCTATATTCCATATATTTTTGGAAGTGATAAATTGTGATAGGAAATAGAAAATTCCTGTAATTAATCATTATTTAATTGGACTAATTTTTTCTTTAATCTTTTCTTTAATTAAAATCTATTTCACAATTTAAAAATCAATAATATCAGATATTCGATAATACCATTCAGAAATTTGTTTTGATATTTACATCATTTCCTAATTAATTCTTAATGATTAATTTTAGGAGTTTTATTTTTTGAAAGATAAAAATGATAAAATTTATTTTTCATTTCGTTAATTAAAATCATTTTTAGAATGGTTAAGAATGCAAAACTCAATATTCCGATCCTTTTTAATGAAACATGATGATGATGATGATGATGATGAATTAAGGAAATTTTTCATTTGTTAAATTTTGAAAAATTTAGGTCAATTACCTCCGCAAATGAAATACAAGGTGAATATGATAGGATAGAACATTCTCAAAGCCATTCCAAACCAGTACTCATGAAATAGAGACGAAAAGAAAAATACCATTGTCTGAGCAATGAAAAGACCTTTCTTTCCACTAACCAGCTGTAAAATGGATCAATTAAAATTTAGGATTTAATATTTAAAAATAATTTCATACAAAATTATTTGTTTATATCACTGTATCATTCAATGCTTATTATTCACTTTCAAATCAAAATACAACTCTTTTCTTTTTTTT